GAGAGAATCATTAATCACTGCCTCCTGTAGGTCCCACACTGGGGATTGAACCTACAACCCAAACATGCCCCCAAACCAGGAGTTGAACCCTGACCTCCTGGTTCATAGGTTGATGCTCAAACACAGAGCCACGTCAGCCAGGCCAAACTGATTTTTTTTTTTAAATATAGTCTTATTGATTTCATAGAGGAAGGGAGAGGGAGAGAGAGAGAAACATCATCGATGAGAGAGACTCATGGACCGGCCGCCTCCTGCATGCTCCCTAGTGAGGATCGAGCCTTCTACCTAGGCATGTGCCCTTGACCGGAATCGAACCCGGGACCCTTTAGTCTTCAGGCCAACTGGCCAGGGCCCAATTTGATTTTTAAGGGGGCAATTGGAGAATGAGTTATCAACAGTAAATTTTATGCATTTCTTATGGTTCTAGGGACCTCACGTACAATCTATACTAATAAAAGGGTAATAGGCTAATTAGACTAGACGTCTTCTGGACGACCCTCCAGACGTCCTTCCTGACAAGACCGAGCCCGAGCGAAGCCGCCCCACCGCTGGTCCTGGGTACCAGCGCCTGCACCCGGGAGACGGAGATGCTGTCTGCAAAAGCTGTCCTCCCCAAGGTCCCAGGCGCCAGCACCTGTGGCTGCGGCCCAGGTGAAGCCACCCACCCACTGTCCCCTGTGCCTGCGGCCAGCCGGTTGGAGGAAGGAATCCTGGGTCTCGGGAGCAGGGCCAAGGCAGAGGCGTTTAGGGCTATCAAGCCAGCAGGGGAGCAGTTAGGGGTGATCAGGCTGCAAGACAGAGGTGTTTAGGAGTGATCAGGCAGGCAGACTGGCGAGCAGTTAGGAGTCAGCAGTACCAGATTACGAGAGGCATGTCCCCCATGGTGGTCCCGGATTGGAGAGGGTGCAGGCCGGGCTGAGAGGGCCCCCCCATGCACGAATTTCGTTGTGGCATATTTATGCATTTCAGTTCTCTATTATATGTTTTGAAACTTTATTTGCTATTTTTTATATCACTTCATATAATTTTTATTTATTTATTTTTTTTAGCAATTTCTTAGTGATCTCTTCCTCAGTATTTCAACTCTCCTTTGGTTCCTTTATTTTTCTCTTTCATGGATGCCACGTTCTTTGGAAGCTTGTTTAGACCAAGTTAATATCCTTTTAGGCTTCCTCCATGTGAGTAGGAGCTCACTCTTTGAATAGTAAGGATTACAGGTCACAGGGGCATCGGGACTCAGAGATGCTTAGGTGGGGTGTGGCCAGAGAAAGGCTGGGAGCCACTGCTGCTGCTCCGCCCACAGGGCTGCCTGCCTCTAAGCTGTGAGCTAGGCCACTGATGCTCTAAAAGCCCACGTGCCGCCAAAACCGGTGCGGCTCAGTGGTAGGGCATCGGCCTGCGGACTGAAAGGTCCCGGGTTCAATTCCGGTCAAGGGCATGTACCTTGGTTGCGGGCACGTCCCCGATGTGGGGTGTGCAGGAGGCAGCTGGTCGATGTACCTCTCTCATCGATGTTTCTGGCTCTCTATCTCTCTTCCTTCCTCTCTGTGAAAAATCAATAAAATATTTAGAAAGAAAGAAAGAAAGAGAAAGAAAGAGAGAGAAAAGAAGAAAGAAAGAAAGAAAGAAAGAAAGAAAGAAAGAAAGAAAGAAAGAAAGAGAGAGAAAGAAAGAAAGAACCCCACAGAGCAGGGTGGGATGTTTCCCTTTAAAAAAATAAAAGTAAATAAATAAAAAGCCAGCGTGCCCATATGGAGAAGGGAAATGTATGAAGAATCATCACGTTTGAAAAGAAACAAAGAGCCGAGACCTGTTTGGCTCAATGGATGGAGCGTCGGCTTGGGGACTGAAGGGCCCCGGGTTCGATTCCGGTCAAGGGCATGTACCTTGGTTGCGGGCACATCCCCAGTAGGGGGTGTGCAAGAGGCAGCTGATCGATGACTCTCATGGATGTTTCTAACTCTATCTCTCTCCCTTCCTCTCTCTCCCTTCCTCTCTGTACAAAATCAATAAAAATATATTAAAAAAAAAAAAGAAAGAAAGAAAGAAAGAAAGAAACAAAGAATGCTTTGGGTCAGCCAGTGACTAAATCCCTTGTGTTTCTGGAGTGCGGAGGCTTAAAATTGGGGAGCTTGTCTTTGAGCACGTTTTGATTTTTCTTTAGAAGTTTAGGATGAGGTCTTACACTGGAACTAGAAATAGAGGAAAGCCTTAGAGGGGAAATAGAAGAATAATTCAGATGTGAGAAAAAATGGCAGGGGTAGTCCGATTATTCCCTCCCTCAGTTGTAAGTGTAACTGGACTCATGGAGGTGTGGGCCTTCTCACTGACCTTGTCTCAGAACCCGCCCGCCCCCCCCCCCCCCCCCCCATCCAGAGATGTCACTGTCATCAAGGAAGAGTTAGGGGCGTGCTGGCCGAACTGGCGGTGGTACAAAGTCATGGCTGGACAGTCTTGATATGGTATATTTTTAGAATTTATATATTTAAAATGTAAGCCAAATCAACACATGATTTAAAAAGCTTACCTACACTGGGTTGAACAAAAAGTTGGTACCCGGTGCTCCATGTGTACTGAGTGCTGGTAAGTGAGCGGGTCTGTGGATGTTGAGCCGCTGCTTTCCGCAGGGCGGGACCTGTGAACGTGGGCGAAGGTGAGCTGAGGAGGAGAGGCCTGCAGGGGCTGCCCTGAAGAGCAGGTCCCCAAAAGTGGGGTCGCCAGGGCCTGGGGTGGATGTGCCTGACGCCTCAGAGGTTGCCTTGAACGAGACCCAGCCGGGTGGCTGCTGGCTTGCACCTCGTTTACCCTCATCGGGGCCATATTTTTTGTGGGTTTGCCTTTGGTAAGGGAGACCCTTGTCGCTGTGTGCTGAGGCGGTGTTCACAGTCACTGTGACAGGTGTCTGCAGCCGGGACGCCCACCAGGATCACCCAGGCCGCCCCACAGCTGGGACCCCTCGGAGCTGGCCACCCAGTTCCAGGGCAAAGAAAGGGAATGTGGGAGCAGAGCCGCCCCCGCCCCCTCAGGGCCAGCACCCAGTCCCCTAAGCAGCTCTGTCCCCTCCAGATGTAGTGCTGGCCATTGAGTCATTTTAAGCTTTCTAGTGGCCACGTAAAACACACACACACACGCACAAAAACCCTCTAAAACTATACAATTAACATTAGTAATAATGTTATGGAGGCAGCATACTGTCATTTCAGCAGGTAACTAGTATAAAAAAATCACAAGATTATCTTCCATTCTCTCTCTTCCTCTGCACTAAGCTTCAGAGTCTGGTGTGTTTTGCACGCACAGCACCTCCGCTCGGGCAGCCACATTGTCAGTGGCAGCAGCCTCGCAGCCAGTGACCCCCTGTGGCTGCCGCACTTCTAGAAGCTTCCACTCCAAGGAAAGGGCTCTTCCGTCCCACAGAAGCCAGGCCCATCTTGGATTAATATCTGTGTGGGTGCTGCTGTAGAATTTCTCCCCCTGAGCCGAAGCCTCTCCTGTGCCGCCGCCTCAGGCCTCTGGGACCCGGCTGGGCCCTGTCCTCCCTCCCCGCCTCAGCCTCTCAGGAATGAAACATAGTGGAGGGTGTCCCCCGGAATTCATTTGCAGGATGCCCACCCCGGGTGTTGCCTGCGCCCCCTGGACGCGGGCAAGGTCTCACCAGTGTTGATGGAAGCGCTGGGATGATACCTGTGCTGCAGTCAGAGCAGCAGGCCGGGCTGACAGCCTGAGTCCCGTCCCGGAAATGTGTTGGAACGTGAGCTTGTGTGTAGAACCCAGAAGTCTCTCGCCTGGTTCTGAGTGGATGCGAGGGATCCGGCCGGTGGCTTGTGTGTATGTGACGTGCGGAGGCATTCCTGGCCGGTCCTGCCGTCCTCCAGAGGAGGGACAAGGCCCGGGAAGTGACAAAGTTGCCAGCGTCCCTTCGCTCGTGTGAGACTAGGGCTCCCTCTCTTGACCAGCTCCCTTCCCGTTTCCCCATCTCTCCCTGCCCCTCGGGGACCAGGTGGAGCAGTCACAGGAGGGGCGGGCCGCACTTTGTCCCAGGATAGGGAGAGCTGAAAAGCACCCAGGCGGGTGGAGGTGAGGCGATCAGGCCTGAGCAAGCACCAGCCCCTTCCTCCCGGCAAGTCTCGGCATGGTGAGAGGCAGAGAGCCCGTGGCCAGCCTGGCCTCTGCAGGAGGAAGTGGAGGCTGCTTGGCTGGGGGGTCACAGCCCCAAAGGATTTCTCCACGGGTGCTTCCGGGCCCGCTGGACTGCGCGGCTCGCCTGTTCACTCTCGTGTATTCCACTAGTCATCACGGCCCAGCCTCGTGCGGGGATATGTCAGGGTCCAAATGGGCCCCCCGTCCTGGGCTCACAGAGGGTTGGGGGCAGTGGAATTGGAGGCGGGGGTGCTGTGAAGGGAGTGCACCTGCAGGGAGCAGGATGAGGCTCCTTGAGGGGTGCGCAGGGAAGCCCTAGGCAGAGGGACGTTTAACCAGGACGTGAGGGTGAGCAGAGCCAGCAGGAAGCTCCCGGCCACAGTGGGTACGTGTCAGGTGGGCGCATGCAAGGAGAGGCGCGTGAGGAGGACGAGGGTGGCGGGGGTAAGGGCTAGAGGTCATGGGGTCTGGGAGCCCGGGGCGTGAGGGTGCGCTGCTGGGGTTCGAAGTAGCAGGAGGGCAAGTTCAGATACTTGGTTTAAAAGAAGCGCTGGCTGCCCGGCAGAGAGCAGTCATAGGAGGCAAGGGCGGCCGCCAGGAGGCCAGCGAGGAGGTGGCTGTGGCCATCCAGGAGGGGACGCCGGGGCTGGCTCGCCACGGGGCCTGGAGGGGGAGTTGGGACCCACGCAGCAGGTTCTGGATCAAAGACTCCGTGTTTCTGCTGCGGGTCCTCTGGTGGGTGTCGGTGTCACTGTGAAGACGGGAAAGTGGGACTGAGGTGTGAGAGGGCAGGCAGCTCAGGCCTGCCGGTCAGCGTTGCCATCACTTGGCGTCCGGGATAGTGGGAGCGGGGAGACCAGTGAGCAGCCCTTGGTAGGCAGAGGGGTCTGATCCCCCAGTGCCAGCAGGCCTCATACCCGCCCCCCTCCACAGTGATCAACAAATACAAGCGCCGGCGGTTTCAGAAAACCAAGAACCTATTGACGGGGGAGACGGAAGCCGACCCCGAAATGATTAAGGTACGTGAGCGGAGCTCGTGGGTCCTGGGGCTCAGGCTGTCCGAGGCCCCGCAGCCCCGCAGCCATGCGGGCTCTCAGCTGGCACCTCCACCGAGCGGCTGTGGGGGCTCAGTCAGGTCTCCTCGCCCCTCTGGCCCTCAGTTTTCCTCAAAATGGGGCTAGGAGGCTGAGCTGCCTCTCGGCATGGGAGGATTCCGGGGAGGGTGGGTCCCGTCACTGTTCCCGTTTCGGTGGGAAGACTTGCCCACAGTGTCAGAGCAGGAAATGGCCGTGTTGGATTCTCTCCGAGCCCAGCAGGGCAGGTAGCGCCCCATTCTTTTAGGTGGGCTGGGGCGCCGGGTGTTAACCTGCGCTGGGTGCCAAGAACCTTCCTCTCTGCGCGGTGGTCCCGGCAGGCGCCCGAGAGGGCGCTCTGCAGCCTGGCACACGTCCATCCAGACCTGCGGGCCTGGGTCTCCCCGGCAGGTGGCTGGGGTCCAGGGTGTGGGGTCTGTAAGGCTGGCGTGTGGCTGGCCAGTGGTCACTGCAGTGGCCGCTCTTCTGCTGTCGCTGTTGTCACGGGAGCCTTCAGGTGCAGGTGCCGCTGAGCCCCATGACCCCCTGTCTCCCCTCAGAGGGCCGAGGACTATGGGCCTGTAGAAGTGATCTCCCACTGGCACCCCAACATCACCATCAACATTGTGGATGACCACACACCGTGGGTGAAGGGCAGCGTGCCTCCGCCCCTTGACCAGTGTGAGGCCCCCTCTGGCTCTCCTGTCTCCATCTGCCCAAGCTCTCCACCCTGCCCACCCCAGCCCAAAGACCCCCTTCTTCCTCCTGCCTGCCCCCAGTGTCCTGTCCCCCTCTGAACACCCCGCCTTTGTTCTGGAAGCCTGAGGGGTCTCCCGCCCAGGCTGAGCAGTGCCCCTGCCCCGCTTGCCTGCAGACGTGAAATTCGACGCCGTGAGCGGTGACTACTACCCCATCATCTACTTCAACGATTACTGGAACCTGCAGAAGGACTACTACCCCATCAACGAGAGCCTGGCCAGCCTGCCGCTCCGCGTCTCCTTCTGCCCGCTCTCCCTCTGGCGCTGGCAGCTCTACGCCGCCCAGAGCACCAAGTCCCCCTGGAACTTCCTGGGCGATGAGCTGTACGAGCAGTCAGACGAGGAGCAGGACTCGGTGAAGGTGAGGTGGGGGCGGGGGCTTCCCAGCACCCTCCTGGGCTGCAGGAGGGGAAGGGGAAGTGGGTCAGGCTGGCGGCCGGGGACCTCCGGCCAGTGCTCCCTGGCCAGTTTCACAACCTCCCGGGTGCCCGCCCTCCCTGCAGCCCCCGCTGGCTCTGGGGATCCCATCCCTGAGGCTTCTGTGGGCCTCCCGGTCTCAGCTTTTCTGTTTCTTTGGCCAGGCCTGCTGAGTCCGGACTGCCCTTCCTGATTTTGTGCCAGAAATAGCCCATTTCTCCCCGACTTTGGGCTCTGACTTGATGTCTCTGCTCTCGGTCACGGTGTCTTTGAATACTCCTGGCGTCCCCGTTTTCTCTGCTTATGTCTGTGCCATGGAGACCGCTGTGCTTGCCTGGGGTTGTCTTTCGTGTTGGGTTTCTGTTCCTCACTCCGACTGTCCCTTCATCTGTCTCTGTCACTCTGCTCTCTCCCCATCTCTGTCTCTGCCTCTATCCTCTCTTCTGTTTCTTTCTCCCTCCATCATCTCCATGTCCACCTGTCCATCTCTGCCTATCATGCGTACTCCCTCTCCGGGCAGTGCTGGGGTCAGGTCCGTGAGCAGTTCTGGGAGACCAGGAGGAGAGAGGCCGGCCCCCAGCGCTCACAGGCATCTCCCCCGCCCCCACCTCTAGGTTGCCCTCCTAGAGACCAACCCCTACCTGCTGGCTCTCACCATCATCGTGTCCATCGTCCACAGTGTCTTTGAGTTCCTGGCCTTCAAGAACGGTAGGGGAGGGACCCTGGGGCCTGTGAGAGGCCGTGGGGGGCTGGGGGTGGGAGGGCACCAGAGGAGGCTTGCCCCCCTCTCTCTCCCTCCTCACCCATGGGTCCTCTCCCTGCTTGGGATCTCTCAGCCCCACTCTCCAAAGGCCTAGTGAACTGGCCAGGATGATGGCCCCCAAACTCCCAGTCCAGAAACTTCCATCTACTGGGTGTGGTGCTGCAGGAGGGGCTGGGCTGGGGAACTCCGAGGCCCAGAGCAGGGAAGCCCCAGAGCTGCTCCCGTCAGCCTGCCCAGCAGGTTGCCTGCTGGGAAAGGCCCCTCAGGGTGGAGTGGATGGGGCCCACCCGAATGGGAAGGTGACAGCTCAGTTCCCAGAAGGCTCCTGCATTCCAAAGGCCAACAGTGGCGATGGCCAGGGTTCGAGGGGACTGGCCATGGGCAGGCACTGTTGTGAGTGTCCTCATTCCTTAGCTCATCGAGTCCTCACAGCCGCAGCCCCCGGAGGAGGCCTGTGTTGCCGCCCGCCATGCTTGTGACGAAGCGGAGGCTCAGGGAGGTTAGGTGACCTGCCTGCAGTCACACAGCTCCCGGCGGCAGAGCCAGGATTTGAACCAAGCAGCCGGCTCCAGCCCCCACTTTCACCCTCTAGGCCCCACCGGCCAGTTCTTCTTTCCTGAGAACCCAATCTGAAGGAGGCCTGCTCAGGAGGGGGCAGTAGTAATGGGTATTATTATTAAGACAGCGTTGCCAAGATTAAGAGTTACCTTTTGAAGATTGTAACTAAGCTGAACAGTAAGTGCCAACTGCCGGTAGCGGGTCTTGGCCGTAGCCTGTGGCGCACTCACAAGCCTTCCTGCTCACTGGGAGCTGGGTCGGCTGCTTCCCTCTTCCTGATGAGAAATGAGGGCTCAGAGTGGGTGGTCACTCGCCCAAGGTCACACAGCAGGGGTGGGGCCTGGGCGAGCCCAGCTTTACCCCCCATGTTTGTTGCCTCCCTGGTCTAGGACAGGACTTGGATCCCTTCACCCCCACCAGAACCGTTCTCCCTGGTCAGGTTGGGGGTTTCTGTGAATTTCCCTTTTACACCTCAGGGTCTGATGGGGGTAGAGGAACCTGCCCAGTGTGTTGGCATTCCAGAATCTGAACCAGAGTCGGCGGCTGGCCAGGGCTCACGGTGAAAGCCGGCCTGTGCGAGCACGGCCTGGCCGCCTCTGTGAAGCAGGCATGGCGGTGGCCGCCTGTGGCTGCGCGTCGGAAACACTCGGCACAGGCGGGACCAGCCGGCGCTGTCACCCGTTTGGCTACGGGGAGCCCCGGGCTCAGGGGAGCCCGGGCCTGCGGGCTGGGTCCAGGCACAGCATCAGAAGGAGCTCTGATTGGAGAGCTGAGCAGGGGCCCTCCTGTGTCCCCCAGGTGGCTGTGGGCCACTTCCCTCCCGGTTTCCGGGCAGAGGGCTGGAGGAGATGGCTTTGAAGCGTGTGTCCCAGGTCTTCCCAGCCGGGGGAGGCACCGGCACCGGTGGACAGCCCAGGTCTGGGGTCACAAAGACCCAGCTTCCAGCCAGATGCTGCCAGGCCAGGCTGGGAGGCCACAGGGAGGTGGCTTCTCTGAGCAGCCCCTTAGCACCTGGCCTGGTGGGCACTTGGGACCTGGCAGCAGTTGCTGTCACCCGTCCGAGGACTGCATCCCGGGGGCCGGTGTCGGGTGTGAGGGCTGCAGAGGGCCTGCCTGTCGCGTGCTCGGGCGGCCTGAGCAGCAGAGGCTCTTCATGGAAGGGAGTCCTGTGCACCCCTCCCCGCTGTGACCCAGCACCTGCCCTGGGGTCTGAGGAGAGTGGGGCCTGAGGGAGCTGCAGGAAGAACCCGGCTCAACTTCCTGGCCTCCCCCCGACTCCCGCGCACAGATATCCAGTTCTGGAACAGCCGGCAGTCCCTGGAGGGCCTGTCCGTGCGCTCCGTCTTCTTCGGGGTGTTCCAGTCCTTCGTGGTCCTCCTCTACATCCTGGACAACGAGACCAACTTCGTGGTCCAGGTCAGCGTCTTCATCGGGGTCCTCATCGACCTCTGGAAGATCACCAAGGTCATGGATGTCCGGGTAAGGCTGGCGGCCATGCTGTTTTGGGGCCTGCCAGGGGTTGGGAGGGGGCCATTCGGTCAGCCAGACCCTGGAGCTGGCCTCGGGTGTTTCCCAGCGCCGGCTGCACTCCCAGGACCGAGGGGATTTTCGCATCAGGGGATTTTTCAGGTCACATGTGGGGCAGGGGAACTGGGAACCGTGGGGAAGGGCAGGGGCTGGAGCAGGCGGGGGGAATGACAGCTGACCATGGCCTCCCTCCTGCCCGTAGCTGGACCGGGAGCACAAGGTGGCGGGACTCTTCCCCCGCCCGACCTTCAAAGACAAGTCCACGTACATCGAGTCCTCGACAAAAGTGTACGACGACGTGAGTATCCTCCAGGGTTTTCAAGCGCCAAGCGCTCCTGGGATCCCGGGGGTGGGCAGTTGCTGGGGTGACGGGGTGTGTGTGGGGGAGTTAGGCATCTGCCCCCTAACTGACAAGTCTACACTTTATGGCCCGCGTCATACCCTCCAGCGTCACCCGCCTGCCGTGTATACTTCCCGTCTGAATCCAAAGTTCCCAGAGCCGCCTGGAAATTCCCCTGGGCTGGCCTGCCAGACCAGGTGTGGGTGGGTGAGGCGGGGTGCCAGGCGGGGCCCGAGAAGTGGGGTTCCAACCCCACCCTGTGCCCCACAGATGGCCTTCCGGTACCTGTCGTGGATCCTCTTCCCGCTCCTGGGCTGCTACGCGGTCTACAGCCTCCTGTACCTGGAGCACAAGGGCTGGTACTCCTGGCTGCTCAGCATGCTCTACGGCTTCCTGCTGACCTTCGGTGAGTGCACCGGAGAGCAGGCCCTGAGCAGCGTCCTCCGCCCGCAGCTGGGGTCCAGTGTGGGAGGGACAGCCCAGGGGGGGCAGGGGGGCATACGGGGAGCCTCGAAGGGTCACCTGGTCCGGTCTGGGGTCAGGGGGCCTCCCTGGAGGTCAGGTGCGTTTAGGTCCTCATCCTCAGGGGAACCCACACAGTAAACAAGCGGACAGGCGGCCCACAGCACCAGATGGGTGCTGGGAAGGGGTCAGGGTGAGGGTGCACATCAGATGTGATCAGGAGGTGAAAGATGCCAAAGGAGGGAGGCATCCGAGGGCCCTAAAGCAGCATGTGCCTGAGGGACTGGAAGCAGCAACAGGCCATTGTGGCTGGAGTGGAGGGAGGGAGGGGGGAAGGGAGGCCGGAAGAGAGGTCAGAGAGGTCCAGGATTAGGGTGCCCCTTCCTCTGCTCACGGGCGTCCCCTTACCACCACCCTAGGCTTCATCACCATGACACCCCAGCTCTTCATCAACTACAAGCTCAAGTCCGTGGCCCACCTGCCCTGGCGCATGCTCACCTACAAGGCCCTCAACACCTTCATCGATGACCTGTTCGCCTTTGTGATCAAGATGCCTGTGATGTACCGGATCGGCTGCCTGCGGGACGGTGAGCCCGGGGGCCGGCGGGCTGCAGCGCGGGAGGCACAGGAGGGCTCGGGCCTGGGGGTCCCACCTGAGGCCCAGTCTTTGCAGGACCCCCAACCCCCTGACCTCACACTGCCCCCCTCCCCCCTTCTCTAGATGTGGTCTTCTTCATATACCTCTACCAGCGGTGGATCTACCGCGTCGACCCCACACGGGTGAATGAGTTTGGCATGAGTGGTGAGCCACCGACAGCAACTGCCCCCGTGGCCGGAGCCCCAGCAGCCACCAGGGCCCTCCCGTCCCCACCCACCCCCGACCCTGCCACAGTGGCCGCCGGCGGCGAGGGGGCCTCGACGCCCGTGCCCGCCTCGCCCACCCAGGGGGCCAGCTCCGCCGCCGAGCCCCAGGCAGCCCCTCCAAAGCCAGCAGAGGACAAGAAAAGGGATTAACCGTTCCTGGTTCCTGGTCATCGTCGTCTGCTCCGGCTCCTGGTGACACCGCCCCTGCCGACCCAGGCCCCTCGCCTCCCCTCCCCATCGCCCTTTCCCTGGACAGATTGGGCCGGGGCGGCCGGGGACCCCTCTGGGGCCAGGGCCCAGTGCATGGTGTGGGGGCCAGGGCCGGCCAGGGCACGTGGTTTGTGGAGGCGCCGTCTGTCTGTCTGTTCCTGTGTTTTAGCCATCTTGCCCTGCCAGCCCAGCACCATTAGGAATCATGGTGAAGCCGATGCGGCACTGCGGAGGGGGTGGGCCAGGCAGGGGAGAGGCCCACGGTCGGCCATCCATCATCGTGTCCCTCGTCCCCTGACCAGCCCCCTCCTCCCAGACCGCCACCCTTTAACACAGTCTGAATTTAATAAATTCATGTGGGTGTTTAACTTAAACTCACAGCCCCCCTGTGCCTTCCTTTCTCTGTCACCTCAGAGTAGGTATGGTGGCTCTCCCAGGCCTGGGAAGGAGACCTGCAGGCTGGGGACAGTGACCCTCTGGGCCAGGCCCCTTTCTCCCCCTTCCTTCCCGTCCCAGCCCTCTGAGGGGGCTTCCCTAACCGTTCTTGTTTCCCAGATGGGAAGCTGCTTGCTGTGACCTCGCTGCACCTGTGTTCTTACCCAGGAGGCGGCGGAGGCTCAGCGCCTTGCCTGTGCCCACATGCTGTTCTCGGGCCTCCTGCCACCAGGCAGGACGGGAGCCAGGCCTGCCCCATGAGCAAACACCCACCGCCTGACCCATTTCACCAGCTTCCGCATTCGGCAGTCCTGGACCTGGGCACATGACCTCCCTTCTCTGGACCTACGAGCTTGCCTCCCCAGCTCACAGCAGGGGCTGGGTGAACCCTCGCTCAGAGTGGTGCCCGATTACAGTTCTTGGAGTTGTTGGGGTGTCCCCAGCACCCCCAGGGCTGCCAGCGCAAGGACCCATCCAAGCTCTTAGAGCGTGGCCCCTGGGCCTTCTCGACAGCTGGGTGCCGGGGCTGTTGACCCCCCTCCTAGGTGAGGAGACAGGCCTCTGGGTGTCCCTGCTCTCAGCGGGATTGGAACCCACATTCCCAGATTTACAGATTGGGTGATCTCATCAACGCCTCACCCCACTCCGCCCTGCAGAGCCAGGCAGGGAATCCGCCATGTCGGGGGAGATGGTGTGCTCAGAGCCCCATGTGTACACGTGTGCACACGCATGCATGCAGTACTGCAGGCTTTTCCACCCCTCAGGCGGTCACGGCCCACTCCACTCTGTGCCATTCCATGGCTCCCCGTGTCCTAGGAGGAAGCTAGGAACCCAGGGAGTGTGGCCACCTGGACTCACTGGCCTCATCTCCCCTGACCCTCCTCCCACAGCCGCATGCTCCAGCCTCTGGCAAAAGCCATCCGCTTCACCACAATCGGGAGTCACCAGTTCCACCGGCACCACCTGGTTCAGAGTCCTGATTGCCCCTTGGGTTGGTTCTCACCCGCCTTCTCGCTGAGGTCCTGGCCCTCCCATTCACCACCATCCAATAGCCCGAGAACTTTCTTCCAATCCTTTTAAGCCAAGAATATTTTTTCCATTGATCTTTAGAGACAGGGTGGAAGGGAGCGAGGGGGAATAAAGAGAGAGAGAAAAACATCAGTGTGAGAGAGACACACTGACTGGTTGCCTCCTGCAGGCGCCCTGACCTGACCGGGGCCAGGGATTGAACCTGCAACCAAGGTGCATGCATGCCTGTGATCAGGAATCAAACCGGCATCCTTTGATCTGTGGGCCAATGCTCTAACCACTGCAAAACCAGCCAGGGCACCAGAGAACTTACTAAAACAAATTGGACCCTGCCCATCCCCTGCTCAGAACCTACATGGCACCCTAGTGTCCTTGGGAGAAGAGCCCAGGGTCTTAAACTGTGAGCCAGTCAGGGGTGGGATGAGGCGGGACTTCTTAACCGCTGTCCTTTCATCTTTCTTGCTTTAACTTGCCATGATCTCCTGGCTGTAGCGAATGCGCTTCCCTCACCTGGGAAGCTTCCCCAGGCACTTCACCCGACCCTGTGCGTCCTCCAGGTGGCAGCTCTAATGTCTCCTCCAGGAAGCCCTCCCTGACCACTTCCTCTAATTCCCGCCTCCCCCAGCTCCTTGGGGTCCCACATTCCAGCTCTGTCCACTCTGGTCATCACTGAGGAAAGTCATTCTCCACTGAGCTGAGCCCCGTGAGGACAGCTGGGGCACCTTGGTCACGGCCACGCCCTTGGCACACAGGAGACGCTGCCAGAACGTTGGCTGAAGGCATGTTTGCCAGTCCTGACTTCACAAGCACGTATCCAGCAGTGGGACCCTCCTGGGCCCACTGACACTGATGGAGAGACTGACATAGCCAGCCAGCAGGTGCTCCCCTAGCCCCTCGGACACTCCTGAGCTGGGGGGTTCTGTGTACACAGCAGGGACGGAGACACCCCAGGTCTGCCCTTAAGGGGCTGAGGATTTCTGACATGTCCTTTCACTTATTCATCCGACACACAGTTGTGAGACCTGACTTTGGCAAGGGGCAGAGGCTGATCAGGCGGGCTCCTGGGAGCCACTGTTCCACGTCCCTCATGAGCCAAGCCCTAGTCTAAGAGCTGTGTGTGGTTTATTTCACTAAGTTTAATACTGAGGTTCCCATCGCCTTACAGACCTTTGCTGTACTCTCTCCACTGCGTCCCCATTGGTCTCTGCTCCAGACTCCTCGCTGTTACTTGAATGTGCCACGCGTGTTCCCACCTCATGGCTGGGATAGTCAATAACAGCAAGGAGACCGGAATGGACTGGATCCTTCAGTTTCAGCTCTTTGCTCAAATGTTATCCCAGAACCTTCCTCAACTTCCTACCCAAATAGTACCCTCTAACCTCAACCCACACTAGTATTTCCTGCTTTATTCTATAGTACTGCCATCACCACAGACCTGTTTTTGCTTATCTATTTCCATCTGTCTCCCTCACTCGGATGTCAGTGCCATGATGGAAGGGGCTTTTGTCAAGGGGCTTTTTTGCCATGTCCCCAGCTATGGGTACAGTGCCTGGCACCATCACACATCACACTGTAATAATTAAGCCCAATGCTTACAAGAGCAGATGAGAAAATGGAGAGAAATTAAGAAACTGTCCAAGGTTTCAGAACACAAAGTGTTAGAACAGTGCCCAGCACATTTAAGAGCTGTATACAAGTGCCATTCTTAGCATCTTTATTGATTTGAGAGAGGCGTCGATTTGTTTTTCCACTTATTTATGCATTCATTAATTGATTCTTGTATATGTTCTGACCAGGGCTTAAACCCACAACCTTGGCGTATCCGGCCAATACTATTAGTATCATATAATCCTCACAATCATCCTCTTATTAGGCCCATTTTACAGATCGGGCTCAGAGTGATGAAGTCAGTTGCCCAAGGTCATGCAGCCTGTAGGTGGGAGACCTAGGATTTGAACCCAGGCGCTCTGATTCTGGACCCTCAATCATAACTTCCTTGTTGTATGCAGACTACAGCTTACAGGCCAAATGCAGCCTTTCCCAGCTTTTGTGTAATTTTTAAATAGTTAAAAGAAGCTGAAGAATATTTTGTTTCACATGAAAATTATACAAAATTCAAATTTCATATCTCTGTACTGTCTGGGTACTTTTGCATTGTGGCTGAGTTGAATGTTGAGACCTGTCTGGCCCTCAGAGCCTAAAGTGTAATATATTTGCTATCTGGCCCTTGGCAGCTTTTAAAAGTTTGCTCAATATTTTGCTGTCTAGCAGTAGCACTCCAACTTGAGCCTGAAGAGCTTGGGGCCACACTTGAACTAACTGCTGCTGCTTGCCAGAAGAGTCACCAGGCCTGGCTTGGTGAGTGCTGTGTCCCCAGTGCAGGCCCCGACACACAGCAGATGCTCATTAAGTGTATGTCCAATAATTTTTAAATTTTATTATTTTTTAAATCCTCATTCAAGGATATTTTCCCATTGGTTATTAGAGAAAGGGAAAGACAGAAATATCGATGTTCGAGAAGCACACCGATTGGTTGCCCCCTGCATGTACACCAGCCAAGGCTTGGGCCAGGGAGGAGGTGGCAACAGAGCTACATGCCCTTGACCAGAATCAAATCTGGGATTCTGGTCTGCAGTCCAACGCTCTATCCACTGAGCCAAACTGGCCAGGGCTTTTAATTTTTTAATTTTATGTGTTTAATCATTTGTTGACCATGGAGATAAGAGAAATGCTCAAATTTTACACCAGGAGATGTAGCATTCTGTGGTCAGGGTGCCCGGCATTCAAGTTGGAACCGATGGTTATTCTGAAGAACAGGCTTTAGCACTATGATCTAACCAAATGGCTGCTCCTCCTTGAGCCTGTCTCCCCTCTTCAAGGAATCCTGGTTCTATCACATGCCTCTGATGTGACTGAAGTAAAATATCTGTGAGGCCACCAGGTAGGCACTTTGCTTAAGGGTCAGGCACACAGCTCAGGATGTACGCTGGGGCTACACTGACATCATTCCCGGACTGAGGTACTGAGCCTTGAAGCTGGAAATGCTCTGGGAAACTTGAAAGGATTGTAGGGAGGAATAAAACATCCATCCAATAATTGAATAAACATTCATTGGTGGGGGGGTACCTACTGTGTTCCAGGCGCTGTTTCTGGTGCTAGGGCTATAGCAAGGAACAAAACAGGCAAATCCTAGAGCTGACATTCTAGATTTAAACTGACATTCTATAGTTAAAATACCTTCACTCTCAATCTGCAGAAAATGAGAAGAGAAACCATGGAAGTTTCCTAAAGATCATTATCAACAAAAGCTGTAGAGCTAGCTCGCCTGATCCCAAAGCTTCCCTTCCATCCAGAAAAACAACAGGTTCAAGTTCCGCTGGCAGACTTGGGGGTGGGGGTGGGAGCCTCAGTTCCCAACTTGCTCCATGGGTAGGGCGGGAATGGCTCTAAGCTGGCCTCAGTTGGCTCCGCCAGAGCCGTGGCCAGCAGCACCGGGCCCTCCCCAAACGCCCAACCTCCTCTTCCCGGCCGGCCCCGCCCCCGGGACCACGTGACGCGCGGGGGTTTTCCCGTTCCCCTAGTGAGACGTCACGGCGGGGTGATAGCCAATGGACGCGCAGGCCGGCAGCGCCGGGGAATTCCGCCGCCCCGCCCCCGCCCGCCGCTCGCCCGGCCCGGCCCGCCGCCCCCCGCAACCCCGGGCGCCGCGCGTCCTGCCCGGCCTGCGGCCCCAGCCCTTTTGCTGCTCGCCCGACCCGCGATCGTCCGCTGGACCGCGCCGCCCGGCCGCCGGCCTGCGCCGTGTGTGTTTTAGTCTGGGCCGGCCTCCGGGCCATCGGTCCCCACTGGTCGGGCCATGCCGAGTCGCCGCGTCGCCAGACCGTCCGCTGCGCCTGAGCTGGGGGCCTTGGGTA